GGACAGAGACCCAGAGAAAGGGACAGAGACTGAGGGGGGGACATGCAGAGAGAGGGGGACAGAGACTCAGAGGACACATGCAGAGAGGGGGGGGGACAGAGACAGAGAAAAAGGGAGACAGACTGAGGTGGGGACAGAGATGCAGAGAGAGGGGGACAGAGACTTGGGACAGAGATAGAGGGGGACAGAGATTCAGGGCACAGAGATGCAGAGGGGTGGGACAGTGACTCAGACAATGGGGACATAGATGCAGAGAGGGGGGGGGGACAGAGACCTAAAAGTAAGGACAGAGACTCAAGAGATGGAAGGCAGGAGACCCAAATTGAGGAAGGGACAGAGAGCCGTCAGGTAGACACAGATCCAGAAGGGGGAGCAGAGACTCAGAGACAAAGGACCAAAGAGAGGGTCTCTGGCGACAGGACAGAGCCCCAGAGGGAGAGGGGACAGAGACCCAGTTAGAAGAGGGGCAGGGACCCCGAGAAAGGGGATAGAGACCCCGGGTGGAGGGGTGACTAGAGACCCTCCCATGATTTCTGTTCCTCTTCCTGGAAAAGCCAGCCCTTCACTTTCAGCAGAGCCTGCCTGGTAGCAGGTGGACGAGGGAGAGAGGGCGTCGAGGTCACAGAGGTGAGCCAAGTAGACAGCAAAGGCTTGGACAGCACTCTCCCCCCAGCCCAATAAACAACTGCTGTCACCTCTTGGCTGGGGGGGAAGGGGGGCGGAGAGGGAACACCCTAACCCGGGGACACCCTTCCTACCACCTTGCCATGCTATATTTAGGGTGAGGGAGGGGTACGGGGTGACCCCCCAAGGTGGGTGTCAGCTTTCCTCCTGAAAATAGCTCGGGGGGAGGGGAGCGGAGTCCCAGGGTGGAGGTGTGACAGGGTGACCAGCCTGCGTGTGCATCGCCCTGGGTCCTCCCCACAGCTCCAGCTCGGCCTTTCTGGGAGTCCCGCTGGCTCATGCTCCCTCCTTGGGTCTCTGTCTCCCTCTCTGTGTGTCTCTTTCCCCCCGTCAAGTCTCCCCCCCCCACCCACTCTGGGTCTCTGTCCCCCTCTCTCTCTGGATCTCTGTCCTTCTCTGGGTCTCTGTCCCCCTCTCTCTCTGGATCTCTGTCCTTCTCT